AAAATGTACTGTTTAGTCCCTTAATGATATGGCGCCCCAAAAGATGGAGTTCTGCTTCAGATGCCAGAGAAAATATTATCATAGTGGTAATCTTTGCCTTCAGTTCAATACCATCATATGTTGAATTATTTTTAACTACAATATGGCCACTCTAATCAAACATCGAAGTCAGCTTGTTATTTTATCGATTACAAGAAAACTCGATGAATCGAATAAAAGTTCGCGAGATGTGTTTTGCGCGGTTGGACTAGGTACGGCTCGTTACAATTTTGTATTAATTTCGTGGTGTACTCTGTGTTGAAACCCAAAATGCACGTTTTTATGCAGTATTCAATTCAAGACATATATTGTGTTAATAATAATCCTCAAAGCAGTGTGCGCATATTAAAATATGCCGGTGTTTCTACTATAGAGCAAATGAGTGAATGAACACATTTCACAACTTCGTAGTCAGGTCTTGTTGCTCACATTCCCATGAAACTGTAAACGGTGTTGTCTCTTTGGTTATCGAAGTGAATATGAAAGTGCTTATTGCTTATTGTGGCAACCGTGAAAATTCAAGGAAATTGCTGAGGTCCAGCTATCTACAAGTGTGATTATTTCACAGTCTCGAAATAACGGACAAGAGGTAAGTTAATTTGTGTGCATGTGTGTGTATGTGTTTTTAGGCGTGCATGATAATATGTAATGTGATACTGGTGCCGGTCGCCGTGGGCAGTTTGCAGACAGTGCAGAATGATTGACTTATCTCCGATGTAGACTAGCCGTCCGACAGAAAGCAGACTGCACGAGAAATTCAAGGATGACCTGTTACTTCGCTGGTCTACAGTGCAATGGGGCTGTGTGATGATATGATGCGCCCTACCGTTTGAACGAATATTTCTTAAACTATGCTCAGCAGATCCTACAGACTGCGAAATAACTTCTAATGAGGCATGAATAAAGAATAAATTACACAAAGCAAAGCTTTTACATGTTTCGATCGATGTCGGCCATCGTCAGAAAGCGATCAGCACTTCATAAGAATTACTTCACAAGTAGGACATGAATATGTTGTCTTAAAAGAGTTTAAAACATTGATGTACTTAAACCAAGCTGCATTAAAAAGCAAACAGTGTCTGTTTTAGTTGCCAGTCACGGTAGCCGAGCGGTCTAAGGCATGCACTGTCTTCGCTCGCTCGGAAGCCGGGATCATGGGTTCGAATCCCGCTCAGGGCATGGATGTTTGTGTGCGTTTTTCTGTGTTTGTCTACAGGTAGAGGCCTTGCGACGAGCTGATCACTCACCCAAGGAGTCCTACTGAATGTGTAAGATCTAGTAAACCGAAATGAAACGGAGAGTAAGCCTAGGCCGAAATTGGGGCTGTAGCGCCACAGAAAAAAAAATCTGTGTTAGTTAATTTAAAAATCTCGCTGTTTGGTTGCTTGGACCCCGTTGGCCCTTGTATTTCTTTGCCGTCGGTATGCAAATGTGTTGTGTGGTGGGCCGTCTGAATGGTGTTTTACGTGTGTGATCCGGTGGTGTCATGTGGATGTGCGCGACGTGTGGTAATGAACTGATATTTCGTAGTAGTGAGTCATACTTGTCACACTCCAGTATTGTTAGATGACAGGGGAGATCGCATGAGGATTTTCAGTTCTCGATATATTGTGTAGATCTTACTGTACAGCATAATAATCGTTTTCGTTTCCTACGTAGACAGAGAAGAATACCGCACTAAGATTGTTGGCGTGGTCTTCCTTAATAGGCTATGGATAGCTGTCCAATGGCTAGCCATTCGCTTGTCTACTTGTTACAACCCCACTTTTGAAATACCAAAAAAAAAAAAAAAAGTTAAATTCGAGTAAGCTTCTGTGTGGATGTAGGTCAGCCTCAAAATCATCTCACAGGGTGGTCAATGGGCCTTCCCCTTTCTCTATCCCTCTTATTCTACCGTCTCCATCGGTTTCGATGTCAATCAACATGTACTTGGTTGTGTTTTGTAATTCCTCCAAGCAATATATATGTACGAGGGGAATGGTAAAATAGTTTCTCGACTTCTTTAGCCAATCACAGATTTCCTCTAAAACCTCTGATTCAGTTCTTTTAACCAATCAGAAACAAGAGGAAACTTATAACAAGTGATTTATCGTTTACGGCGTTGGTTACTTCAGTAACAAGTTTAAAACCCTAGGTTCGATGATAGCGACTGTATACAATGGTACTTATTGGTAAGAATAAAATGTGCCTTTAACAAAACAGCAGACGGATCTCAGAATTGTCTGCAGTATTCTTTACTTGTCTTTGCTCTTCATGCTATCAACACATCGATAAAAAAAATTAACAGAGTGAAAAATCTCGAATTATTACAATCGTCACCGCCTTAAATAGTTGCTGAATTTTATTTTAGTCATAGATTTCTGAGTACACCTTGAATATTGTTTAAAGAACATTTCGTAATAATCAGCTTTAAATGTCGTTTGAAGGTTATAATAGTGATGACATAGCAAGTAAGCGAGGGAGTGGGAAATTTTCAGCCATTTAAAGACACAGTACAACCATAATACTAGGCAAATTGGTCGTCAGGTATTCTGTTTATATTCTGTGTTGCTCGAATGTTTATGGGCTTGATAGCTTTTACGATTTTAAAAAGTCAACACATATGGTTGTAAAGTTAAATTCTTTATTTGTATACGAATAGAGAAAACGACGTCACTGGCTCTATTATTTCTTCAACATAAAACCATACGTAACCGTACATCGGCAGAAGGAGTTGACATTTTGTACTCTGTTTTCTTACCCCCTATTATGCAACCTGCAAAATAATTAAACCAAAATGGGCCGCAGAATTTTATGTTTCTTGAAGGAAAGCGCCAGTATGCCTTCCCTAACGTCATACAAGAAGTCATCCTGTGGGAACTGCCGATGTGGATTTTAAGGTCCTTTCTGCATCTATTTAATCGCAGGATTTTCGCAAGCCACACGTTTTGCTTTCTTTCTAGTTCATGCTGATTTCTTCTTTCATGGAGGCGACATGTTCCTCCGAAACTTCGGTTGACTTTCAACGAACTACATGGCGTTATATCCCAGAAAGTATAATTATTTCAAATAAATGTATATCTCTGACCATAATGTTTTTCTTTCATTGACAAAATGCAGTAGACATGCCGAGTTAAATACAGAACAGCAGAAGCACCTCCAGGAAAGTGAATTTTAACAACTTAACCTGCTTTTTCGCAACATCACAGATTTGTGGCAATACAAGTCGTAATGGCATAGCCTACATGCGCTGCTGTGGGTGTTTATTTGTAAAAATATATAGGAAGTTGAGAGTACTAATTCTTAAATTAAAATTCGCAGACTGAAAAGTTCAGCTCTTTTATTTATTGAAAT